CCAGATCCCCTTGATTTCTCTGCTACTACGCAGGCCCCGGCACACGGGGTCTCCCGGAGAAATCTGTGAACACAGCCAGACAAATCGCCGCCTCTCCCTTCGCCAGAAAAAGACTAAATCGACACCTCTTTTGTGGCATCAGCGTTGAAAAAACTCTCACTTTACAAGCCCGAGAGAAGGAGAAAGTGAGGCACGCCAGGGTGGGGACAGCGGTACCCACCTGACTGGCCCAGAGAAATGCTTCGTCATCCCCCCCACCGGCGGCTGCCCTTGGCTGGCTCTCAGAGGTGTGACAGTCACCCTGCTGACTCTTGCTCATCCTAAAATTAGCAGCATAGCTGCGCTGCTGCAAAGAGAAAACACAGGCAGAGGCCAGGAGACCTAGAAGCAGAGAGAGGGGATGACATGCGTCTCACACACACTTGGGGATGCGTGCTGTGGCTCCCATGACAAGCTGTGCCGGTGACTTCCTGGCCCTGCGGTCTCTGTGCCTCGTGCCCCGTTCAGCAGGTTGCGCGGACCCAGTGCACCCAAGTCTTCTTCTGGTTTCCAGAGCACCCCCAGAGCATCCCAGATTTAGGGGACGTTGGTGTTCAGAGATGCTCTCTTGGAATCGGGGAGGAAGTAGAGGCACCCTGTTTTTCTGAAATACCCGGTAGGAAGGGTCAAGAAAGAAATGACATGTTTTGGCCCAGCCGGCGTGGCTCGGTAGTTGAGGGTTGACCTATGAACCAGGAGGTCACGGTTTGATTCTAGGTCAGGGCCTGTGCCCTGCCTGGGTTGCAGACTCGATTCCCAGTGTGGGGCGTGCAGGAGGCAGCCAATCAATGATTCTCTCTCATCGTTAATGTTTTTCTCTCTCTCCCTTTCTCTTCCTCCCTGAAAAAAGAAAAAAGAAAAAAAAAAGGACATGTTTGGTCCCAACCACCCAGGAAGCAGAGGGGAGAGAGAGAGAGACTCAGCCAAGAGAACGGGGCTGTTGGCCGTGTTTTCCTGTGGGGCAACTCTGTGTTGAATTCCGTGTCACGTGGCCCCAAGCATTTTATTTGCAAAGTGTCCCCCTCCGCGCTTTCCGGGGCAGGGTCAGCTGGGAGGCAGCGGGGCACGAAGATCCCAGGGGCCAGGGAAACCTGGGAGGTGCGGTTCCCAAGCCTCCGGGGCTGTGTGTTGCAAAGGCCGCAGCGCCCCAGCAACATACGTCCATAGGAGACATTAGAAAAACGTGTTAACCAGCATGTTATTGAGGCGACACGCATAAAAACGCACCCATATCACACGCTGAACATCTGTGCGTGGCTGCCGCCTGGATAAATAGGACTTTAGCAGCATTTCAGGAGCCCCTCCCCGCCCCTTGCAGCTACTCACTGCCCCTCCCCCTCCCTGAGGGTGACCTTGTCATGACCTCTAACAGCAGAAGTTCATTTCGCCTCTTTATGAATTTAATATAAATAATACTGTATGCACTCCCTCGGGCCTGGCTTCTCTCACCCAGACGATGTTGGTGAGACGTATTCATGTGTTGCGTGTAGTTGTATGTTGTTCTCATTGCTCTGTAGTATTCCATGGGTACGTGTGTTTTTTTTTTTAATTACTCACCCCAGGATATGTTTATTGATTTTTAGAGAGAGAGGAAGGGTGAGGGGGAGAGAGAGAGATAGAGATAGATAGATAGAACCATAGATGTGAGGGAGAAACATGGATGGGTTGCCCCCCCATCCCTGACTGGGGGTTGAACCCACAACCTAGGTATGTGCCCTGACCAGTAATCAAACCCGCCACCTTTTGGTGTGTGGGATGACACTCCAACCAACTGAGCCACCCAGCCTGGGCCCACGGGGTACGTGTTTTTAAAATTCTTCTGCTGTGAGCGTTCAGGTAGCTCCAGGGTCTGGCTGTTAGGAGTAGTGCTGCCGTGAACATACTAAGACGTATCTTTTGGTGAACACATGCGCATTTCCCTGAGTTTGTACCCAGGAGTGGACCTGCTCGGTCCTGGGGTGCACACATGTTCTGCTTTAGGGGGCGATGCAGAACAGTTTCCTAGAGTGGTTGTTTGTCTTGCTCCAGAATGTCCGTCCACCTGCCTGTGTGAGAATTCCAGCTCTGCATGGAAACCAGTCCTTGGTATTGTCTGTCTTTTTAATTTTGGCCAAACCATCACAGAAAGAGCAAATGGCCTGAAAGGACACACGTACCCCAGACAAGGAAAAGGCTCCCTTTGGTGATACTGGAAGTCGTGTGCAGGGCCCTGTGCCCGCATCCTGGCAGGGGGAGCCCACGGTGCTGCCTCCTGGCCCCAGCCGCCACACCGCCCGGCTCTCGGGCAGGGACCAGGCTTCGCTGCAGTAATACCCAGCAGAGCGTGCCACCGTCCTTCCCAGTGACGGAGCCTCTATGTGCCCGACCCCAACCACACAGACTCACTTCAGACTTGCCTGGGGGCCTCCGTAAATATTTAACAGGCTGCGTCCCCCATTCTCTCGGCTGCCATCGACTGGGGCGAGAACCGTACGTCCCTGCTTGCTCTCCTGCTGTAGGCGGCCCTCTCTGCTGACCCAGCACCAGCCCTGCCATTCTGGGGCGATGCTGGGGCGATGCTGGGGCGATGCTGCACCCCTTCTGGCTGCTCATGGTGTTTGGAGCCGTGGGAGCTGAGCACGGCTACTCGAGCTCTCAGTCTGTGCCCGCAACACGCCCAGGGCTTTCTGCTGATATTTCATGGGACCTCACAGCAGGTTCATGGATAAGGAAGCTAAGGGTTAAACACATTCCCCTGGGGGGAACATGGCTAGTCCGTTTGATAGTTTGGCTTCAAATTTTAATGCCTTCACCCCTATCCTGCACTTTTCTCTTCGGGCTGATATTTAGACACACAAACGTCCTTTTCAACTCATCTTTCTTGTGGGTTGAAAAGCGATGCCAGGGGGCGGGAGGGGGGGAGGTGCTGATAGGGAGAGCCCACCCTGGGACCCCTGGTCACTGAAGAAGGATTAAGACGGAGGATGGGTGCCCTCTGGGATGGTTGCTGTGAGCAGTGGGCTCCCAACGATGCCCAGGTCCTCATCCCCAGACCCTACGGACATGCTGTCTTACGTGTCAAAAGGGAGTTTGCAGACAGGATGCCGGTTCGTGACCTGGAGGAGGAGAGATGGTCTTGGATCCTGTGGGTGGTGCCAAGGGAATCACATGATTCTTAGACGTGGGAGAGGGAGGCAGCGGAGTCAGGTACGGAAGGAGATGTGACCGTGGAGGCGGGGCTGAGGGATGCCGTGTTGCTGTGTGTGGTGGTGGAGGAAGGAGGCCTAAGCGGAGGCATCTGAGAGCGGCCCCCAGAAGCTAGAAAAGTGAGGAAACAGATGCTTTTAGAGCAGCGGTTCTCAACCTGTGGGTCGCGACCCCTTTGGGGGGCGAACGACCCTTTCACAGGGGGCGCCTAAGACCATCAGAAAACACATATATAATTACATATTGGTTTTGTGATGAATCACGATGCTTTAATTATGTTTAATTTGTCACAATGAAAATACATCCTGCATATCAGATATTTACATTACGATTCATAACAGTAGCAACATTACAGTGATGAAGTAGCAAGGAAAATAATTTTATGGTTGGGGGTCACCACAACATGAGGAGCTTTATTAAAGGGTCGCGGCATTAGGAAGGTTGAGAACCACTGTTGTAGAGTCTCCAGAGGGGACCGCCAGCCCAGACCTGATTTAGCTCCGTGAGACCTGCGTCGGCCTCTGACCTCCAGAACCGTGAGATAATATTGGCCTTATTTTATGTCACTAAGTCTTTGAAAATTGGTTGTTGCAGCAAATTGTTCTTGAGGACAGTTGGTGTAAGGTCAGCTCATGGGCTGCCCGATTTCTAACTCTGTTCTGGGAGTTTCTAGCTGTGTGATCGGGGGCAAGTTTCTTAACTTGTCTGGGTCTCACCTTCCTCCTCTCTAAAACGGGTATAAGGAGAGTCTCTGATGCGAAGGGTGCTGTGAGGATGAGGTGAGGATTCTGTGCCTACGAAACGCCCAGTGGTAAGTTTTAGGTGTGGATTTCCGGGCAGGAATGAGGGGGGCGGATTGGGGCGTGGACTTGGGAGCTAGACCAGCCTCAGGTGCGGGCTCCTCTTACTCGTTTGGATCAAGGGAGCTGTCTGTGTCCCCGTTTCCCCATCTGGAACATAGAGGCCGGAGTCCCCTGTGCTTGGGGGTTTGTATGGGATGGCGGCCAGGGCTCTTGCAGGGCGAGTTCCGGGCACTCCGGGGAGGGCGGTGGTCGCCATCGGTGGGTGGTGGTGACTGTTGGGGCTCCAGCCCTGCGCATCGTGGATGAATTTGTTCTTCATTTACTGCCGTAATAATGTAGTGCCCTGGGCTGGGAGACAGGAGCTGGGACAGTCCTGGGGACCTAGTGGGCACCCAGCCATCGCTGGATGAATGAACAGAAAAGGGAACAGGCCCCGGCCGTGCCCTGCAGAACCTCTCCGCGCAGGGCGAGGCCGGGAGCCATGCCAGGCCTTTGTGGCCGTCTTCAAACAGAAACAAACAAGGAGCCACTTCCTACCAGCTGACCCCAAACCCCCTCCACCCACTGCCAGGACCTCTCAGCCCTGCAGGCGAGGTCAGGGCTGTGTGCCAGGCCTGGCCCAGCTGTTCACTCCCTAAGCCAGCCCCCTGACCTTTCTGGAACCTTCTCTCCTCTTCGTTATAGTGGACACCCCTCAGCCCCCTCTGCCTTCCCAGGGCAGTTCTGAGGAGCCCTCTGCAGTCGAAAGCCCCTCTCTGAGAAGTCCTGTGCCCGTGGGAGGGGGGCGACCGTCCCCTGAAGGGTCCCCAGGTCCCCGCCTCACCTCTGTTTGGGTACCAGGGCTATCGGGCAGTATTTTTACAAGTCCCCCTCTCAGTATATCAGAGGAAAGTATAAAGAAAGGAGAATAACCACCTACAGTGCCGGGTGTGTGATTGTAACAAGGTTGGTTTTCCTTCTTCTCATCCCCAGGCCTGATCTCTGGACCACAAAGGAGTTAAAAAGATACACGCCCGCTTCCCCCACCCCGTGGCCATATCTGTCTGCTGCATGGAGCGTCACTCGAGGATTTCCTGCGCGTGTGGATTACAGTGATGTCCAGCTGCTGCGGAATCACGCCGGCGGAGCCTTCCTGGTTACACACTGCTGGGTGCTCAAGGTGTGCGGGAAGCCCTGGCTGCGAGCGCCGAGCCTCGTGGATTCCGCAGCCGGGATGCCCGGGGGGGACGGAGGACCCCAGCTTCCTGAGCTCGCATCTTGGACAGGAATGTTTGCCTGGGTCTTTCCAGCTCCCTGCGGGGCTCCCCAGGAAACGTAAGTCCCACCTCACGCCTCATGCATGTCTGCCAGGCGCTCACCTGGGCCTCAGGTGACTCCGGCCTGGCGGGTGGTAGCCAGGTCACCGGAGGCGGCCGGCTCTCCAGAGGAGCTGGCGTTGAAGGAGCGCACTCGGTGTGTCTGGTTGGGGCTGGTGCTCAGGGGAGGCAGGTGGGAAGGGCAAGGTGGTGCCCGGGAGCCACGGCTGTTTCCTTTGCCGACATGTGTCATCGTACCGGTCGCTCTCACGGGTTTTCCCGGTGTTTGTGTCTGTCTCCATCTAGCAGACCTCGAAGGCCAGGCCTCTTGCACGTGGCTCTGTGTCTCTAATACAGTGGTTCTCAACCTTCTGGCCCTTTAAATACAGTTCCTCATGTTGTGACCCAACCATAAAATTATTTCTGTTGCTACTTCATAACTGTAATGTTGCTACTGTGATGAATCGTCATGTAAATATCTGATATGCAGGATGGTCTTAGGCGACCCCTGTGAAAGGGTCGTTCGACAGCCAAAGGGGTCGCAACCCACAGGTTGAGAACCGCTGCTCTAAGACATAGCCTGGTGCCTGGCGGACGGTGTCTCCCGCTGCAGGAAGGGTGAACTAAGACCAGGTCACTGATGAAGATGTTGGAGAGTAAACAGGGAAGGTAGCAGTAGGGAGCAATTTGGGGGCTCGGTGCTTCGAGCTACGAAGAGCTGGATGTCAGCAGGGTGCCCGTGGACCCGGTTGGAATCTCTCCCTGGTACCTACCTCGTGACTCCGGGCAAGTGACTGCTGGATTCCTGGCCCCTCGCTATCCAGTAAGAGTGAAGGGAGGTCATGCTTCACAGGCCTGGTGTCGAGGAGGCTGACGTGCTGACAGCCGCCGTGCCTGGCACGCAGCAGACTCCGAGCCACATGAGGGCTCGCTGTGGCTGGGGGAAGCTTCCAGCGGGGAGAGGTGTCACTGAGTGTTTCTGAGCAGAGCCGGTGGGCTGTGCTGGACTGTGAACTGGGCACCGCCGGTTGGCATGGGCAGTTGATTAAAGGTCACAGGCCTCGCCGCCCATGGGAAGGCTGAGTGGCAGGTCAGCAGCAGGTGAGGGAGGGAACAGCTGGACTTGGACTTGGCCACGGAGGTTCTGCAGTTGACAAGCCGGAGGACTGACTTGGCAGCTGTGAGGCTGGCAGTTCCCGGGGAGGTTGCCTGAGCGTAGGGCTGCCCGAGGGGAGGGGCAGCTCCCACAGCCAGTGTCCCCAGTGCTCGGGTCACCTGGGGCCACCTGGCCCTCGGCTGCCAAGACGGCACTAGGGGCGGGGCCTGGGCTCTGGTTTTGATTGGGTTCCCAGTTCCGCTCATGCCCGGTGGCACCTGTCAGCGGGCCTTTTCCCAGAGCTCCTAGTGGACACAGCGGCCCTCTGGTTATCCCACGCTGTCCAGTTCACAGCTCCTGGGTGTGCGGTGACGGTCCATTCATTGATGCGCGGTGTTTGATCGCTTGTCTTTCTCCCACCCTAGGAAGTCATCTCTGTGAGGCCAGGAAACTTGTTCATCTTGCTCGCAGGCTGAACACACAGTAGGCGCCTTATTTATTGCACCACAGTTAACCAGATCAGATGGTGACTTTAGTGGTTTCCTTTCAGCTTCCCGGACAAGGACAGACGACAGGGAAACACCTTTCCTTTGGAACGTCCATATCACTTAACCAGCCCAACCGTCCCACTAGGTGGGCAATGGTGCCCCCAGTTTACAGCCCAGAATTTGGAGGCTTTGGGAGGCCATCGAACGTCCCCAAGGTTATTCATTCAAGAGAAGGCAGAGCAGGAAGCCAAGAAGGATGTGCGTGTGTGTGTGTGTGTGTGTGTGCGCGAGAGCGCGCACGCACACAGTTGCATGCGCCGAGCACTGCTAGCCAAGCACTGCCAGCCATGGGGTGCTCTTGGGGTTCTTAGAATGGGGCTCCCTCTTCGTCACCCTGGAGAGAGAGACTTTTCCTAAGATCTCGGTGCCCCACGGTGTGAAGGAGGCAGGCACCGTGCTGGGCCCTGGGATGTGGTGGGATTGGCATCACAGTCCGGCGCCTGGGGGTTCCTGGTCCCCAGGAAGCCTGTGCCCTTGGGTGAGCGTGATCAGCAGCCCAGCGTGATGGGTGCCATGCTGTGGCCACCGGGCAGGGCCAGGAGTGACCCGAGGAGGGTATGGGGAGGAGTGGGAAGCTGGGAGGTTTGGCGGGGCTCGGAGTGGTGGGCAGACCTATCCTGGGGTTGGGAGGGGCTCCATTGGAAAAGTGAGTGGGGCACCCCGAGGCCCAGCACTGCCTCTTTCTTTTGCTTCTGCCTCGGCAGAGCTCTAGCACCTCTTCCTGCCATCTCCCCCCACCCTCCCACCGTGGCTGCGGCACCCCCACTTATCACATGGCCCACAGCCCTGCATTTTCTCCTTTTATCGGTTACTCCCTAGAACAACCCCATTGTGGTGGTCCTGGTTGTCTGCTGCTCCTCCCAGGAGAGCGAGGGTGGGCTTGGGCACCAGGGGACGGAACGGTCACAGAAAGAAGTGAGACTCCCGTGTCCCCTCCGTGCTGGCTGCTCTGAGCACCCGCCCCGTCTGCGGGGTGCCCTGTGGACAGTGACGGAGGAATACCCGCCGTCTGCTACGCCGATCTCTGGGCCGGGCACATGGCAGACATTATTCCATTTCCAGCCCAGCACAGACCGTGGGGTCGGCACTGTGATTGTGGTCATGGTTAGTGTTGAAGTAACGGGAGCACAGAGAGGCCACACAGGCAGGATTGGAAAACAGTTCCTTCCGATTCCAAAGCCACTGAGCCACCCTCCCTGGAGCTGTGAGATGCAACTTCTACTGCCTCCTTTTTTTTTTTTCCCTTTGTGTTAAAACAACTTAAAAAAAATCTTTATTGTTGAAAGTATTACATAGATCCTTCTTCCCCCCCCCATTAACCTCTCCTAGCCCGCTCCTGTCCTGCCCCCCACTCCAGGCCCTCACCACCCCGTTGTCTGTATCCACAGGTTATGCATGTATGCATACAAGTTCATTGGTGGATCTCTTCCCACCCACCCTCCCTGCCTCCCCTCTGAGGTTCAACAGCCTGTTCAAACTTCTGTGACTCTACTGCCTTCTTCGCCTCCAAATAAGCAAAAAGGCAGATCACCTTCCGTCTCTGGGCGTTCGGACCCTCCTTGGCAGGGAAACTGTCCACTAGGACTTCTAAGTGGGGACACTTGAGACTTCTTTTAGGAGGAGCACTGGGACATGTACTTGGGGGCAGTGATTGGAAGAGTGTGGTCTTTAGAGCAAAACCTCACCTACACTCAGGACCACTGGCCGAGCCGCCGTAGGGACGGTGACGGCTGACAGATTGGAGCGCACGCCAGCTTCTCCGAGTTCTCCAGACAGAGATAAGCTGGGCAGTTCCCCCGGTCTCTCGGGTCTCTTGGAACCCGTTTCTTCCTCTGTAAAATGGTGTGTGTGTGTGTGTGTGTGTGTGTGTGTGCGCGCGCGCACCCACCTCCCCAGGTTGGAAGGTTAACCAGGCACATTCCTGGCGTTCATCAACACCGGCCATTGGCAACTCCATGGCTGCCATGGAGATCCCCCTGTCTCCAGACTCAGCCTGGAGAGCAAGGCCCAGCACTTCTCTCAGGGTGACCCAGGGGCCCAGGTACCCCCGTGGGAGCAGAATACAAGGAAGTTTGGAAGCTTTGCTGTGTCATAGCCGTGTGACCTTCCTCTAGTTCCTCAACCTCTCTGAGCGGCACTTTCTTCACCTACGAAGTTGGGACCAAAAGGCTGCTGAATCTCTAGTTCTTACCTCCCGGCTACTGTTTGCTCTCTAAACGTTAGTTCCTCCCCATGGGGGCCCTGTGGCTGCTGGTGGCTGCTGGTGGCTGGTGGCGGCTGCTGGCCTCCTCCCTCCCTCATCCCAGGACGCTGTGTCTGGCTTTTCCTTCTGGAGCCTGTGGGTGTGAGGCTTGCAGCCCCCCTCTCCCGGGTGAGTGCTGAGTGTCAGAAGGCTTGAGAAAACACTGGCCTGTGGAATTCCAAAGTTAATGAAGGGCGCAGATTCCAGGAGGGTCTCTGCTTGACCTCCCACCCTCCTCCACCCCCCTGTTACCCCCGAGTGAGCTCGGAGCACTTGAAGGTTTCTAGCAGCTGCACACTGAACTCTCGGGAGTGGGCCAGGACGGTGGCCTCGGCCCCTGGAGGCCTGGCCAGGGTGGGTGAGTTTCAGCCTCTCCCCTAAGGTGTCTGGTTAACCAGAGAAAGGCACTGGGAACAACCTAGGCGGGCAGGGCAGGCCGTCCTGGGAGAAGGGGGTACATGTGAACCAGTGGGGTGACTTTCCGCTGTCGGAAGGAGGGGCAGAGTGAGGGGCTGTGTGAGAGGTTTGAAAGCAGACCCACTTGCCTTAACCAAATAAACAAAAAGGAAATCTTTCAAAAAAATTATTATTCTGACCTTAGGACCCAAGTATCTATCTCTTCACTTAGGGCTGGTGGAATTGGGTAAAAAGAACAGGCTTTTGGCCCGGCTGGCGTGGCTCAGTGGTGGAGCCTATGAACCAGGAGGTCATGGTTTGGTTCCTGGTCAAGGGCATATGCCTAGGTTGTAGGCTCGATTGCCAGGGTGGGGCATGCAGGAGGCAGCCGATCAATGATTCTCTCTCATCATTGATCTTTCTATCTCTCCCTCTCCCTTCCTCTCTGAAATCCATAAAAATATATTTAAAAAACAAAACAGACTTTTGGTGACTGATACGGTTCCAAGATGCATTCTCTGTCTCGGGCTCACAGATCCTTCATGGGAAAGGCCTGTGTGAGTGTGTGTCTCCGTCAGCCCTGGCTGCTCCCTCACCTGCTCCTCCCTGGGACCTGGGTCATTTCCCATCATGGGGCTGGGCAGGCGTGGCCCCCTTTCTTTGTCTTGTCAAAGTCAGTTTGCAGGGCAGTTGCAGGGGGTAGAGGTCTTTCTCTCCCATCTGTCTGCCACCATCTC